CAGGCCCAAAATACATAGCATACATACAACAATATAGTAATATGGTTGCGTCACCTTAACAATGTTTATTAATGCGAAAAAAGACTAGTTGTTTATGTTATCCATTAAAACATATACATAAAACATAAGCTTCCTTAAAGTGATTATATCACGTGTACCTATTAATACATAAAAATCATGTAGTTCTTTTCCGCAAAAATACCAATTGAATAAATACTTATCACGGATTTGTTTATATTTTTTACATATAAAGAAAGCATGGAATTCACAATCTATACTATCATTACAAGTTGTACACAGACGTTCTTCCCTTGGGATATTATTATGTCTGATATTTCTTTACCTAATTTATGGTTGGAGTAACATTGGCTTATACACCCTTTATTATAGATTGCTGTTTTTCATATTTGGAAGGAACATATCTTGATGGTTCGGTGGTGGGAGTCACAAGGTCAATGTCACTTTTTTATGGAATAAACCATTAATCTGGTGGCATGCTGCTTTAACCCATTCACTCATTTTACAGTAGATTTTTTATTACACCTTTTAAACAGCCTTTGTATTTATCTTAACAATGTCTCATATTAACAAGAATCATACGTAAGGTGGTCTTGGATGGAATTTGGAGTCACTGGGTTCACTATATTTTTAACTTCATCACAAGCCATAGCAATGACTAACCAACTTATGTTTTTCACAATTACAAAATGCCATGTTATATCATATAACTGTGTTGACATTTTTGGGCAATGTTTCTGTCCATAACTGTAACTGAGTGAATGGGTTAAAGCAGCATGCCTCCAGATTAATTGTTTATTCCATAAAAAAATGAAAATGTAATTAATCGTTTAATATTGTATAATAACCAAAGAAAAGAAATTTTACATTATCAAAGACACTTGCAACCCACGTTAATGACAAAAAATATGCAAAAACTTGCCTTTACTGCATTAGTACAGCAGTAGAAATAAAGTTATACATATTGAAATAGATAAATACAGAGTCCCTAAAGAAAGCCCAACACGGCAAAATTGAAAATGTTGCAGATGTGTTCATACGGCGGTTATCATGGAACCTTCAATGTGACACTTCCGTGCCATTCCATGAAAAGCGGCGTATGGTCCCCAAGTAATAAAAAGCGTGTGCCCTAAACGAGAAAACAATGGGCGGAACTAAATAAAATGGAATTTTGAAAGGGGATCAGAGGTTATGAAGCCTGCGTATCACAGATAAGACGTCAAAAGACAAATTTAAAAAGCAGGCAACATATCCTAAGGGTGATTCAACATTATTCAAGTAGGAATATTGGAACCACCCAACTAGAAAATGTCGAAAAGTTGAAACTAAAAATACCACAAGCACAACAATAATGTCGTGCTGAACGATCTTCAAGGATCGAAAATATAACATCATTGATTAAATGTACGGGGAGACTTTTTACAGCCGCCACACGGCACAAATAACACGGATGTGATCATGAAATAGATAAATACAGAGTCCCTAAAGAAAGCCCAACACGGCAAAATTGAAAATGTTGCAGGCTCGGTTTGATTGAGCCTGTTCATGGACGGTACTGGAAAGTACAAGTTACCGTCCACGCCCCCTAGCACCGGCTTAAGCAGAATTCAACATTTAAACGTGAAATAGTAAAATTTTGAATTTAGAAACATCCGCAGATGTGTTCATACGGCGGTTATCATGGAACCTTCAATGTGACACTTCCGTGCCATTCCATGAAAAGCGGCGTATGGTCCCCAAGTAATAAAAAGCGTGTGCCCTAAACGAGAAAACAATGGGCGGAACTAAATAAAATGGAATTTTGAAAGGGGATCAGAGGTTATGAAGCCTGCGTATCACAGATAAGACGTCAAAAGACAAATTTAAAAAGCAGGCAACATATCCTAAGGGTGATTCAACATTATTCAAGTAGGAATATTGGAACCACCCAACTAGAAAATGCCGAAAAGTTGAAACTAAAAATACCACACGCACAACAATAATGTCGTGCTGAACGATCTTCAAGGATCGAAAATATAACATCATTGATTAAATGTACGGGGAAACATTGAAACATTGACCATTAAATCATTCATGTAAATTATTACTTTGAAATTCTATTTTCCCTCAAATCTCAGTACATTTTTCTCAAGTTTCAATTCATGAAATATTTTTGCTCATCTGGAGGCATGCTTCTTTAACTTGCTTAGAAATATTTTAAGAATTGTTTGGGCATTTGTTTTAACAAACACATTCCTGTTCCTTATCATTTTGAAGTGATATGTGCATTGTACTTATTATTTAAATATATATATTTATATATATTTAATATGCATAAATTCTTAGGTTCTCTGGGAATGTATTATTAGATCCATATGTCTGTAATCCATATTATTCATGGTTAAAAAACAGTCATGTAAACAGAAATAAAACGAATAAAATTAGTGAAATCTTTACTAAAACCAAATGAACCAACTAAGTCCCAGATTTTTTAAATTAAGGTGCTAGGATAAAAATTGACCCAACCAGAAGGGTCAGAGGTTTTCTTGTCTATATGTTTTATTGTTTTAAAAAAAACTGCTCTGTAACCACAATTACTTGAGCTTATTTTGCACAAAACATTATCTAGAAAAAAATGAAATATTGAATCCTTAACTGGTGAAATAAACAAATGTTAGTATTAAATTAATCAAATATTTGTGTTCTTTAAAAATCTACTATCAGAAAAGTCGAAAGTTGACGAAATCAAACTGCGTAATGATACTTAGATATGGGCAGTGTCTTATAATTATGTACGAGAGTTGATTCGTGAATTTTGAAACAATTTGTTACAGCGCATAATTCTTAACTGATATGCATGTTACTGTAACAAATGCTCAATATGTGATCCATACATGTTGTAAATAAGTCTATATCGCTTTGGCCATGACAGCAAGGTTTGATTATAACTGTTGGTTCTAATTGTTTCCATTCATTCTTTAATGCTTGTTTATGACCCGCCAAAGTCTTTGTAAACATTGTTTTAAATACCCCAAATAGCAAAACCCATTGGTGCTGCATCAGGACCTTTGGGCATCCATTCTTCAGGTGTTACAAAGTTGATTTTTAACATTTGTTGACTCAAGTATGCTCAAGTATGCTCAGTGTTTTGAAGTATGAATCCTATAAGACCATGTCTATAATTTTAACTCCAGGAAAAATTCTGGGAAGATCTTTATTGGCAAAAGGATTCAGAACCTAATTGATATAGAAGTCTTAATTGACTTTACACCTTTATCAATATCCGTTTTACCATTGAAGTTTACGACTGTCAAGGCCACGATTCCTGTAGCAAACTAATAACGTTTTACAAACTTAAGTTTTGAAACATCATGTACTCATTAATGGTAATAACAAAGCTGATGGCAATCCGATAATAACTGTCACTGTGATAAAATATTGCCTCGTCTATGGTGACAAAATTTTCCACTGGTTGATATTAAAACGTAGATACAGTCGCCATGAACACAAACGTCTTTTCTCAATTTGATTTGCATTGAGCTTATAAACTTTGCATTTCTTGTAGTACACGTTTAATTCGGTTTATACACCTTAACGTTGTGTCATCACTCTTTGGGTGTCGGATTTAGCCTTTGAATAAAAATGGCAATTTTACGAACCATGTCAACAGTTGACTTCGTAGGTAAACTCACTTGGTTTGGGCTTTTGAGTATTAGGATTTCGAAAAATTCCGATGGAATGTTTTACTCTATGTATTGTTGACAAAGATACATCATGCCCCTGTCCCTTTAGCTCCTTCTTTATGCTTCTATCTTCAACAGGTATTCTATAACAACCTCTAAACGTTAGTTAATTTTACGTCGACAAATTATGAAATCACAACTATGTGTAATATATATGTGTAGTTTGCTCAAGAAAGGATAAGATGCCGCTAAAATCATTATATTTGTGATTAAAACAAAGCTGATGTGTATTTCAAAATTTGTGAATCACATTTAGTAAAATTACCTCTATTTCTATGGATTTTCACAAAACTAGTGTGTGATGTAAATAATATTATTAATTCTTAAAAAGAACTGTGTGGTCATTTTTGTGTCACCTCTATGGATTAGTGGCATCATTTAAGAATCACTTCTATATCGTCTGTCTGTCCGTCTGTCTGTCTCTCTGTCTGTCCGACACAAAACTTGTCCGGACCATTCCTCAGAAACTACTGATGAAATTTCTTCCAAACTTTACATGAATGAACAGTAGCAAGTCTTATGCGTATTATTGGGATTTTCCGGTTCAGTGATTTTTGCCAGAGTGATGACCCTTTAATAATTTGATTTTAAAAGTTTGTCCGGACTACTACTCTACATCCTATATTACTGAATCAATTTCAATGAAACTTTACAGGATTGATCTGTAGATAAACTACTTGCACATATTACAAGGGTTTTACTGTTAAACAATTTTTGGTGGAGTTATGGCCCTTGAATAAAAAGGTGTTTGTGTGTTGCCAGCTTCATATAATCTTGTCCAAACTACTTTTAGGAAACTCTTGGTGAAATTTTATCCATACTTTATAGGAATGATAATGTGCAAAGTCTAGTTGTGCATATCATCATCAATGTTTTTGTCAGAGTTATGTCCCTTTAATAATATTTGAGTTTGTCTTTAAATGAATTGAAATTGAATTTCATTTAAGCTGTACAGGATTGATTGGTAGCTAAATTACAAGGGTTTTCTGCTTGAATGATTTTTGCAAAGGCAAAAGGTGTGACAGAATACTCGTCTCATACCACAAATGCAATTTCGTTGATATTTTACAGGATTGATAAGTAGCCAAAGTACTTGCACATATAACATGGGTTTTCCACTTATTTATTTTTATTTTTTATTTATTTTTTTGTTTTTCAAATAACACATTTTTCTGGTGCTAACAATACCACTTGAAATAGTCTTATTTAGAATATAAGCAATTAATTAGTGTTGATCTTGCTTTTTTATATTATTACAAGCAAACACAAAGAGAACAACTGATGACACCAAAGTACTGCCATGCAATGCAGTAGCAATACCACTTTTTAAGACAATAATGCAGTATCAGTACCAGAAGTAGCAACATGTTGTAAGGGTAATGCAGTATCAGAACCAGTACTTCCAAAATCACTGCAGTACCAGTACTAGTAATGCAGCTTTGGCCTAGAATATGAAATATGTTTTGCCCTGTTAATGGTTTTTGGGTCTCCTGCTACACAGTAGCTGCAACATGCAATTGGCTATCATGAGGCACACATGTCATCACTGATGGCTCTTGTATCAACTTTATTTCAATTAAGTATATCTATAAATATGCTGTTTTGTGTTGTTGTGTTTTCATGAAATTTAATTGAATTTTCTTATAACCGTTTAAAATTTAAAACAAAATATGTTTTCCAAAAATTAGAAAGTCTATATAAATAAATGCCTACTGTATGTATATTGATGTAAATAAAAGTATGCATGGTCTGTGTTAATTGACGTAAATAAACATTTGTTAAACTTTCTTAGTCTTTTTACATCTTTCTTGGTTGCTTACTTGATATCAAGCTTAACAAATGTTGTTTGTTTTTCCCTTGCAAAATATATAGAGATAAAGTAAACATTCTATCAAGATATGTTCCCAAAGATAGTTTCAGATGTACTTCGATGTATTGATAGTTACCATTTTGTGATCATATTATGACTGTTGTCCATATGCATGATTGTGATTTGAATTCACACAACCAAGATCTCCCTCCTTTCAATATAGGAGACGACTGTTTTAACCGTGTATTAAGATAAACCTGTTATTAAAACAAGCATAAATTATTTATATAGATATTTGGTATGAATAATTGCAAAGTGACCTTCTCAAAAGTTATGTTGTTGGTCCTAATCTGAATAGGTCACAAGAGCTCAATATAGATTCTTGAAAAACCTAATTCTCAAGAACAACAATTCTCAGAGCTTTAATATCTGATATGAGCATTACTTTGTGGTACTCTTTGTGTCTGAAATTACACACAGCTGGGCAACTGAAGTCTTTCTTCACCTGTGAAACTTAAAAGTCGCCATATGGCCTACTGTGTTGGCGCCTACCCATTCAAAAGAAAATAAATAAAAAGAAGTTATGGTACGTATTTCAATAACAAAACAACACTTTTGACGAAATGGACATATTGAAAAACCTAGGTGACCTCATACGATTGACTTAAGCTTATATTTATAATTTTTGACATTAACTTATGAAACTGATTCATAATTGGACAAAGCTTCACATGATTGACTTTTGCTTATATTTATACTACTTTGTCATTTAATTATGACTGGAAAGTGTGATTTTACACCCCACACACAAACACACAAGAGCAATCAAGAAAATGGAAACGATATGTTCAGTATGTGTGGACAATTTGATATTATTAAATTGTTCTGTTAAATACATAGGTGCTCTGTCAATGTGCAACAGCTAAACATACAAGAAAGTATCTCGAAATTAATCCTTGATTTTCACTTACTTACTCGAAATTTCGAGTAACTTATTTCGAAATTTCGAGTTACTAACACGAATTTTCGAGTTACTTAGTCGAAATGTCGGGGTTCTAAGTCGAAATTTCTTATTACTTTACTCGAAATTTCGAGTTAGTAACTCGAAATTTCGAGTAAGTAAGTTAGTAACTCAAAATTTCGAGATAAATAACTCGAAATTTCGAGTTAGTAACTGGAAAATTCGAGATATGTAAGTCGAAATTTCGTGTTTGATAAAAAAAACATACACCTGGCACTAATGCTCTTCCGTACGATCATATGCAATACTTTACACTACAAAACTTACTCGTATATCGCACATGCCAGCAAAAAAGAGGAAAATCATCAACTTTTGTGGTGTCTCTTATTTGTCACATTTAGATAAGCCAAATAAATAGCTCATTTTATCAGGTACAATTTTCTTCTGGAATATAAAGATTGTCGCAAATTTATGCCTTTTTCATGTTCACTATATAATGATGTTACATGTTATCAACAAAAGCGGTCATGCGTAAACATTCCCACTTGCCAGCATTTATTTTTATCTCACTACAAATTCCAAAGATGTGCCTAATAATACGTATTGTATTTCCTGAAGAAAGCAACCCTAAAGTAAATATTTCGTATTCAATTTTTTGGAAATATCATGCTTACATGAAAAAAAGTAAAATGAAAAAAAAAGTCTCAATTTTAAGAGTAAAAAATAATGTAAAATGTATTTATATACTTAAAAAAATATGATAAAAGTAAATTAAAATTGATATATGCTTGTAAAATCCTGTCAATAACAATAGCATAATTACCTTTTAATTATCAGATTTCAGTTTGAATAATTTTATATTGCTACCTTGGCATGAAATTAATCATAGAATTCTAATATTCTCATAGAAGAAACGAATATGTAGCACATTAATTGCCCTGCCCCGCCTTTTCGAAGAAAAAAAGGGGGCGTGTATAGAAAAAGTCTCCGCCCGTCTGTCCGCTCTCACGGGACAGTACAAAATGTGGCTATAGGGACAATAGGTAACTGTTCTTTCTCTTTGATGTTATTCACACGCCCGGCAAACTGTCGCTCCACTTCAAAGTAAAACGAGCGAACGGCATTTCCGAGCGAAAAATGTAGTTCCGTGTAGGATTGATTTGGCTTCCAATTATTGTAGTAAGCAAGTCTACAAGATATAATAAGCCACGCATTTAATATCAAACATTGTTATTGTTACTGTGTGTATGCTTACTTGATGTTTGGGAGTTTATAAGTGTATATTTGGATGCAACACATATAATAAAATATATAAACCATCCTTCGGGTCTTGTTTAGTATGTGTGCTAGTAAGCCATCCAAATAGAAAATACAAATGTTAAATTGGCCACGAGTATCGGATATTAAAACAAAGTGTGGATTAATTAAACTGACTCTGTGAAAAAAAAACAGATTTGATAATGGAAATGCTTTTCCGAAATTTGATGTTTTTGCTGATGAAATTCCTCTGGGAGTACGATGGGAAAAGTATTTGGACAAATTAGAAAACTTATTTGTTGGACTGGGTATAAACACTAGAAAGCGAAAACAAGCACTGTTACTTCATTATGCAGGAGATGATGTTTACGATATCTATGATACATTGAATTTAAAAGAAGACAATGAAAACTACGAGGAAACGAAAATTGGATTAACAGCATACTTTAAGCCAAGAAAAAACACACAATTTGAAATATTCGAATTTCGTTACATGAAGCAATTGCATGGGGAATCTATCGACCAGTTTACAACAAGATTACGCCAGAAAGCTAAGAATTGTGAATTTTCGGACATTGACTCAGAAATTAAAAGCCAGATCATACAGGGTGTTATTTTACAAAACATGAAAATGCAGTGTTTACAAGATCTGGATAAATCACTTAATGACTTACAAAAATGAGAACCATGGAAATATCAAAAACTTAAGCACAGGATACAAGTAGTCAGCAAGTAGTGCGGGTAAAAAGCAATCCTCGATTTAGCCGTCAATCAAAGGGATTTGCACCTAAATGTTTTCAGCAACGTTCATATCAAACTATCCCAGAAGCAAGTTCGTCGTCGGGAAAGCGAAACAACCCTCTAGAACTAAGGAAAAAATGCCGAAATTGTGGAGGAAAGTATCCACATATGTCACGTTGTCCTGCTATCGGAGCGGAATGTAACTACTGTCATAAGAAGAATCATTTCATATCGGTCTGCAGAAAACGTAAAAACAAAGTGAAATTAATCGATGATGACCAGTCGGATTCACAAGATTTATCAGAGGCAAACACGCCGAGTATCAGTTCAAATGAGTGCGATGTGTTATTTGGATTTAAGATGTCAGATGGGAAAAAAGTGCCAAAGAAATGCATTAAATTAAATGGAGTAGATGTGTATGTGTTGATAGATAGCGGTTCATCGTTAAATATTATTAGCGAAATCTACCTCGAGAAAATGAAAATCCGTCCAGAAATCAAGAAAACGAAAACAAAAGCATTCGCATTTGGGCAGAAATCTCCACTTCCATTCTTAGGCAAATGTTCCCTGCTTGTGCAGTCGGACTCAAAATTTATGACAAAAGATTTCCATATCGTTAAAGGTAACAAAGAAACATTGATCAGTTATGAATTATCGGTAGAGCTTGGGATTTTACCGCAAATACAATCAGTTCATAAATCAGTTCAAAGCAAAGACGCATATTCAGGAGGACTTATTGAAGAATATTCTCAAGTTTTCACAGGCTTGGGGTGTTTGAAAGACAGAAAAGTTAAGTTTCATATTGATGAACGTGTTGTACCTGTGGCTCAACCGCCTAGGAGAGTTCCATTTCATGTACGTGCGCAAGTCGAAAAGGAACTGAAAAGTTTAGAGGAAATGGATGTCATTGAAAAGGTTATAGGTTTACCGACACCATGGGTTTCGAGCTTAGTAGCGGCTCCGAAACCTAATGCTCCGCATGAAGTGAGAGTGTGCGTAGATATGAGGAAAGCTAACACCGCAATCAAAACAGAGAAAAATGTTTGCCCGACGGCGGATGATATCATCTTGACGTTAAACGGTGCAACGGTATTTTCACGTCTAGATCTGTACAAAGCTTTCCATCAAATTGAATTGGACGAAGCAGCACTTGTAATGACAACGTTTCAGACACATATTGGACTGTTTAGGTATAAACGTCTAAATTTCAAGGTGTCCGCAGCACCGATAATTTTCCAAAACGAACTTCGTCAAGCAAATCAAGGTCTAAAAGGCATATTGAATATTGCCGACGACATCATTTGTTTTGGTAAGACACATGAGGAACACAATGCCAATCTTTGCGCTTTACTGCAACGTCTTCAAGATAGAAACCTCACACTGAACAGCATAAAATGTTCATTCGGACAAACTAAAATCAAGTTCTACGGATACCTATTTTCCGAATCCGGAATTTCACCCGATCCTGACAAAGTAAATGCAGTGAAAAATATGGACAGACCAAAATCAATATATTCGAAATCCTTCATTTCTGGGTCTTACCAACTATTTGTCTAAGTTCATAGATGGCTATTCAAGCTTAACAGAACCACTAAGACGACTTACACATAAAGGTGTAAAATTTGAATGGACTGCTGACCAAGAAAAAAAGTTCACATCATTAAAAGATACCCTAATTAGTGACAAGGCCATGACATATTTCGATCCTAGAAAGGAAACTGAACTCTGAGTCGACGGAAGTCCAGTTGGATGCTCAGGAATACTTATTCAAAACGGCAAGATAGTATCATATGGAAGCAAAGCATACAATTCGGTTCAGACGCGATAGTCTCAAACAGAAAGAGAAGCTTTGAGTGCTGTCATCATGATTCAGCATTTCCATTTGTATTTATTCGGCAAGAAATTTAAACTGATAACAGATCATGCAACTTCAGTCAATCTTCAACAATATCAAGACAATACAATCACCAAGATTAGAACGTTGGCGTTTGAAGTTGACAACGTATGATTTCCAGACAGTTTATAGACCAAGTAAAATGATGATATCAGATTATCTTTCCAGGCATCCACATGCAAGACACGAAACAAATACAGTAGCCGAGCAGTATATTAGCTTTATCACAGATAACGCTTTGCCAGATGCATTGAAGCTGTCAGATGTAGCACAAGCTACCGAAACGGAATGTATATTAAGGTGTGTAAGAAATGCGTTAGAACAAAATGACTGGAAAACTCAAAAATGCAAATTAGATGAAAGTTTTCGGTTATACGAAAATTTGAATAAAAATCAAGAACTTGCAGTTGCATATACGGAAGATGGATTTGTGCTTTTACGGGGTACAAAACTTTGCATACCAGAAAGTCTGCAAACACAAACTGTTATGCTTTCGCATGAAGGTCACCAAGGCCAATCAAAATGAAAAGGATTATTACGCGAGTATTGCTGGTTTCCACAAATGGATAGAATGGTGGACGAAATTTGTAGATCATGTATTGTATGCCAAGCTGCATCTACAAGAATTATTCCAGACCCGATCACACCAACATTACTACCACGAGATGTGTTTTCTGAAGTCAGTTGTGAATTTTGTGGACCATTTCCAGACGGTTACATGTTACTAGTTGTTATATGTGACTACAGTAGATTTCCAGTAGTTGAAAGAATCAAATCGACAGCCGCAGATACAGTCATACCGCGATTAGAGGCGATATTTTCGATATTCGGATATCCAGAGGTAGTGAAAACGGACAATGGACATCCGTTTCAAAGCCGCGCATTCAGAGAATTTGCTTATAATTCGGGATTTAAACATAAACGAATCACTCCATTGCACCCACAGGCAAATGGAATAGTGGCGAGATTTATGGCGCCACTGCAAAAAGCAATTAAACCAGCGATAGCGTCAAGACAAGATTATAAAAGAGCGTTAAGTAGATATTTTATGAATTTTCGGAACACACCACAAACAACTACACAAACAGCTCCTAGTGAATTAATGTTTAATCGTAAATTAAAGACAAAATTACCAAAGATGACATTTGATAACAAAGATACAGATATTCGAGACAGGGACAGTCTATCAAAAGCGAAAAACAAAATATACGCTGATAAGAAACGTAGACCTTAGCGAAATAATTTGAAACTGGTAGATCGTGTGCTATTAAAACGGGAACAACGGAATAAGTTTGAAACAACGTTTGACCCTACCCCCCGGATAATCATCGCCATTAAAGGATCTATGCTTACAATCAAACATAAAGGAAAAGAAATCACACGGGACGTTTCCAAGTTTAATTATGTTCATGGAGATGAGATCAAGAGCCGATGCAGACGAAACCTGCAGATAATACATATTTATCTAGAAATAGGCCGCAGGGGAAACGCCGACCGCCGAGACGTTATGAAGATTAAAAAAAGAAAATGGTTTAATCTATGATACCATTTCTCGTTACAGCTATAAGGGTTAATGACTCAAATGTGTGGGCCATAATAATGCCCTAATTATATTTGCTATCATAGCAGTGTATCCGCTTGCTGGATTTATTAATCTTAGGAAAAAATGATAGCGTTTGTGAGAACATTCTGTTATTCGTGAAATTAATACTTTTGGTTTTTATTAAATTATTTTATAATTAGTTTTTATGTGGTAGAACGGAAAAACAAAATCATTCTTTTGATATTTGATAACAATGCTTGTTGTTTGAACAAATGTTGTGATAATAATGCAATTTGCTTGATATTTTGTGACATTCCGAACAATAGAAAAAGATATGACAATTAACAATAACATTGTATTTATCACTACTTCGTTGAAACAGATGCCTAGTACACTGATTAGAGTAAATCGCATTGGTAAATGAACTCAGCTGAAAAAGGAGAAGAGTTTATAATAATAGACTTGATATATAGCTTATTTCATACGAAAAGAAAAATATTTCTTATTACAATATGATTGCACATTTAAATTTAAAGTTTTGATAATTTAAGTTTATTGATGTTATTGATGAGTTCTAAACTAAATATAGAAGAGGATGTAGTAAGCAAGTCTACAAGATATAATAAGCCACGCCTTTAATATCAAATATTGTTATTGTTACTGTGTGTATGCTTACTTGATGTTTGGGAGTTTATGAGTGTATAATTGGATGCATCACATATAATAAAATATATAAACCATCCTTCGGGTCTTGTTTAGTCTGTGTGCTAGTAAGCCATCCAAATAGAAAATATAAATGTTACAATTATCTAAGCTGTTACAAAAACTAAATTATATTAAGCCCGGGAGAATGTTTCTCCCTGACGAAGCGAACGACAATTTGTAGAATATTGAACTTCCCAACCATAGAAACGCCAAACCCTTCAGATTTCTTGAAAAAGTGTATTAGTAAAATATCTACCCGTTATAAGAACGTGTCCTCCGTGCAACATAAATTACTTCCGAATTTTTTTTTAAATGTGTAAATGGGAATTTTTCGAAAGTAGTGGAGCCAAAGGGCAAGAGATGGAGCAAAGGGTTCGATGTTGAGTGCAAGGTGATATTGATTTGACGTATAAGGAGCAGCGAAGTCTGTTATAGAGTGTATTGTGTGTACGATCTATAATTTCTTCATAGTTCAAGGGATTTTGAAATAACTTGGCACAGAAAATCACAACAATAAGACAATATGTCAAGTGCAACACCTGTACCCCTACCTCAAAGGTCAAGGTCACATTAAAGGTCAAAGGTTAACAGAGTCTGTTATATGGTATATTTTGTGTCTCGTCCATAACTTCTGCATAGGTCAAGGGATTTTGGAAAATACTTGGCACAAATAGTCACAATAATAAGATGATATTTCATGCGTAACACATGTGTCCCTACTTCCAAGGTCAAAGAGGTCAAAGAATTACAAAGTCTGTTATATGGTTTATTTTGTGTCCGGTCCATAACTTTTTCATAGATCAAGGGATTTAAAAACTCTTTGCACAAATAATCAAAATAATAAGACGATATGTCTGGCACAAAACATGGGTCCCTACCTCCAGGGTCATACTTAGAGGTCAAAGATTAGGATAGTCTGTTATAGGGTATATTTTGTGTCCGATCTATAACTTCTTCACAGTTCAAGGGATTTTGAAAATACTTGGCACAAATAGTGACAATAATAAGACAATATGTTTCAACGCCTGCATCCCTACCTCGAAGGTCAATGTCACACTAAGAGGTCAAAGATTTACATAATAAATTTTTTATGCTCCCCGAAGGGTGAGCATATAATCGCCGCTTTGTCCGTCTGTTCTCGAGGGACAGTATTAATGTGGCTTAAGGGACAATAGGTAACTGTTCTTTCTCTTTGATGTCATTCATTCCGTAATGCTTTTATGTGGCTGTTTATTTTGTGTGGCTAAAAAGAACAATAGAGAAAAAAACAGAGTAGCCACATTATTACTGACCCGTTAGAACTTCCGTCCGCTGTTCTTGTCCGGGATATAACTTTGAAACTACAAGAGGTATCATATGAAACTTTGTATGTAAATTGATCTCATTGAGTAGATGTGCAGTGCTCAGAAACCATAAAATAGATAACTCTGCCTTGCCTAATTTTTGAATTATTGCCCTTTGTTTATTTTTACACTTTGAAATTTGTCTGGTAAATAAATCTAAAACTACAAAAGATATCAACATGAAACTTTGTAGGTAGATAGATCTCATTGAGTAGATGTGCAGTGCTCAAAAACCGTAACTTTGCCTTGCCTTTTTTGTAATTATTGCCCTTTGTTTATTTTTACACTTTGAACTTCATCCGGGACATACCTCTAAAACTATAAGAGAAATCAATATTAAACTTTGTAGGTAGGTAGATCTCATTGAGTAGAAGTACAGTGCTAAAGAACAATAACTCTGTATTGCCTAATTTTGGAGTTATTGCCCTTTGTTTCTTTCTTTACTTGAACTTTGTCCGGGACATTACTGTAAAACTTTAAGAGACATCAACGTGACACTTTGTAGATAGATATATATGTAGAAGTACAGTGTTAAAGAACCATAACTCTGTCTTGCCTTATTTGGAGTTGTTGCGCTTTGTTCATTTTTAAACTTGAACTTTGTCCGGAACATAACTCTAAAACTATAAGAGGTATTAACATGGAACTTTGTAGGTAGATAGATCTCATTGAATATAAGTGCAGTGCTAAAGACCCTAAACCTTGCCTAATTTATGAGTTATTGCCCTTTGTTCATTTTTACACTTTGAACTCTACCCGGGACATAACTCTGAAACTATAAGAGATATCAACACAAACATTTAAAGGTAGATCTCATTGAATAGAAAGTGCAGTGCAAAGAACCATAACTCTGTTTTGCCAAATTTTGGAGTTTTTGCCCTTTGTTCATTTTTTCATGCTTTTCTGTGTCCAAAACCTACTCCGGGAGCATCAACCGGTTCAATCGGTTCTTGTTAAATTCCATGTTTCATTTTATTTCTTTAATAAATTAATTGTTGCATTTGCAGATCTAGCATTGATCATAATTTTGGACTGAAAGTCCTGAGATTTATACCTAAATCTGTTGAAATAGCACACTTTTATGCTTCATATAAAACTTCCCTGAGGCGGGGGGCGTTGGTAACTATGTAACAAATTCTTGTTGACTTGATATGAAATTTCTAAAACAATTAAAAAAGGCCAAAAGTTTATCTTCCAATAACTTTTCGAGGAGGTTCCTTTTAATTATCACTCACACAATTCATAAATGTTTCCTTTAGCTCACTTAAAAATGAGACGCCGGTGGCGGCATTGACACTTCAATACTTTTCAATAATGTTCATGACGTCAATTGATTTAGTGAAGACATTTCTGGCATCATACTAAATGCTTCGACATTCCTTTCTTGTCACGTGCATATAAATCTCCGTTGCGTATTAGAGTGGTACACACGCATAATAATACCGAGTGTCCTTTATGTAAGAGTTTGTGGGGAGTCATCTGCGGATGTTTCAAAATTCAAAATTTTACCATTTCATGTTTAAATGTTGAATTCTGCTGAAGCCGGTGCTAGGGGGCGTGGACGGTAACTTGCACTTTCCAGTACCGTCCATGAACAGGCTCAATCAAACCGAGCCTGCAACATTTTCAATTTTGCTGTGTTGGGCTTTCTTTAGGGATTCTGTTTTTATCTATTTCAGAACTTAACAGACGGTAGGATTTAGCTGTACAATTCTAATTAAAGATATGGTGTACATTCTTCAAAGCAATACAACACTCTTGCATTCAGACAGTAAATCTATATTTTATGAATCATTAAGTTTCATTTCAAAACAATTCCATCCGAATAGATCCCTTACAGAATTTATTCACTATTCTTACTAAAAATATGTGTAAATATTATATAATTGTTGGTATTTATCAATTAGGAAGATTAAGAGGTAGGTCGTGGATAGCATGAAGGGAGCATTTAGGAATTTACCATGTTCTGGTTTTCGTTTTATTTGTATGAATGTTAAACTTTCTCCTGTCTTTGTTAAATGAATATTGTAAGAAGTGTGAGTTACATACTATCGTTAACATTTGTAATTTGTTATTTACCTCATATTTACATGTATTGTGTATTGAGTGAATAATAAAATCTTGAAAATCTTGAAATCTTGGAATGAATAATATAACTGATTACCCTAAAGCCTGTGAATGTGGCGGCATGGCCGAGTGGTTAATGCGCCGAACTGGTAATTTAATGATCACTAGCCGAATGGGTTCAAACCCCGTCAGGGCAAGTCGTTGCTTCCTTGAGCAAGAATCTACACTCATTACTCAGTACTGGTTGGTTTCAGGGACGGATTTGAAAATGTGTCTACAAGCTTATAGCTTTCTACACAATGGAACTTAAATGAGTTCTGTATAAACCAAAGCCTATTCTGTAAAATTATGGGGATTTTTGTCTGCGTGATTAATGATGGAAACTCCTCCGTTTTTTAAGAAAAAAATAAGTAAATAATCATTTTCTGCGTAATTTAGGATTCAAACATGCCACAACTTGGTGGTTCCTCAACATTTTTTCAACATCATTTTTACTTTATTGGAATTTCATTCATTAAACTAATTAAAAGGGAATAATTGAGAAATCTGTCGACTAGGGAGTTCTGTACAACTACA